AGAGACGCAGAGGAGGGGCAGAGGAGCAGAGGAGGAGCAGGTACCTCCAGGACGCAGGTGAAGATGGATCCGTCCAATAGCGTGACTCGACACTGCATGGTCCTGAAGCTGAGCGCTCTGATTGGAGGAGAGCGGGTCAGGTGACTCACAGATGACCTCTGACTGGACGAGTCATCGGCCAATGAGCTGCTGGCGCACACCTCCCCCTGAAACATCGACCAATCAGAAAACAGAGCACACCCACATGGATGTGTATGGAGAAATGTTCAGCAGTTACCACAACGACGCACAACAACCTACCACCAGCCTAACACCAACACTAACACCAACACCAACACTAACACCAACACTAACAACACTAACACCAACACTAACATTAACACTAACACCAACACTAACATTAACACTAACACCAACACTAACACTAACACCAACACTACACCAACACTAACACTAACACCAACACTAACACTAACACCAACACTAACACTAACTAACACAAAACACTACCAACACTAACACCAACACTACACCAACACTAACACTAACACCAACATTTAACACACCAACACTAACATTAACACCAACACTAACACTAACACTAACACTAACACCAACACTAACATTAACACTAACTAACACCAACACCAACACTAACACCAAACTAACATTAACACTAACACTAACACCAACACTAACATTAACACTAACACCAACACTAACATTAACACTAACACCAACACTAACACACCACACAACATTAACACAACATTAACACTACACACTAACACCAACACTAACACATTAACACACAACACTAACACTAACACCAACACACCAACACTAACACTAACACAACCAACAACTAACACACTAACACCAACACTAACATCTAACATTAACACTAACACCAACACTAACATTAACACTAACACACACACACACACTAACACTAACACTAACCACTAACACACTAACTTAACATAACACAACACCTAACAAACTAACACTAACACCAACACTAACCAACACTAACACTAACACCAACACTAAACACTAACACAAACAACACAACACTACACTAACACAACACAACACTAACAACACAACACCAACACCTAACACATACACCAACACTACACACACTAACACTAACACTAACACCTAAACACATTACACAACACTTAACACCAACACTAACACTAACACCAACACTAACACCAAACACCAACATTAACACTAACACCAACATAACACTAACACTAACACACAACACTAACACACACTAACACTAACACCACATTAACACTAACACTACACCAAACACTAACACTAACACAACAACACTAACACCAACACTAACACTAACACTAACACTAACACTAACACTAACACCAACACTAACACCAACACTAACACCAACACTAACACTAACACCAACACTAACTTAACATTAACACTAACACTAACATTAACACTAACACCAACACTAACACTAACTAACACTAACACCAACACTAACATTAACACTAACACATTAACACCTAACACTAACACTAACACCAACATTAACACTAACACCAACACTAACACCAACATAACACTAACACCAACACTAACACCAACACTAACACCAACACTCAAACACACAACACTAACACAACACTAACACTAACACACCAACACTAAACACACAACACTAACACTAACACTAACACCAACACACTAACACAACACTAACACTAAACACCAACACTAACAAACACAACACTAACACAACACAACAACACAACACTAACACTAACACTAACACCAACACTAACACTAACACCAACACTAACACCAACACTAACACCAACATTAACACTAACACCAACACTACACACACTACACCAACACATAAACACTAACACTAACAACACTAACACCAACATCAACACTAACACCAACATTAACACTAACACCAACACTAACACTAACACCAACACTAACACCAACACTAACACCAACACTAACAACAACAACACTACACTAACACCAACATAACACTACACAACACTAACACCAACAACAAACACTAACACTAACACAACAACACTAACACAACACTAACACTAAACACATTAACACTAACACCACAACACTAACACAACACCAACACTAACACAACACTTAACACTAACATTAACACCAACACTAACACAACACACACTAACACTAAACACTAACACCAACACTAACACCTAACACTAACACACAACACCAACATAACACACATTAACACATTAAACACACACACTAACACTAACACACACACCAACACACCAACATTAACACTAACACTAACAACACTAACACCAACACTAACATTAACACTAAACACAACACTAACACCTAACACCAACACTAACACAACATCACTAACATTAACACTAACACACACACACTAACACACTACACTAACACCAACACTAACACAACTAAACACAACACAACTAACACTAACACAACACTAACACCAACACATTAACACAACACTAACACAACTAACACACTAACACAACAACTAACATTAACACTAACACCAACATAACACTAACACTAACTAAACAACATTAACACCAACACTAACATTAACACTAACACTAACACCAACACTAACACCAACACTAACATTAACACCAACACTAACACTAACACCAACACTAACACACTAACACTAACACTAACACTAACACCAACACTAAACCCAACACCAACACTAACACAACAACACTAACACCAACACTAACACCAACATTAACACTAACACTAACACCAACACTAAACAACACAACAACCTACACACTAACAACACTAACACCAACACTACACACCAACATTAACACTAACACTAACAACACTAACACTAACACACACAACATTAACACTAACAACACCAACACTAACACAACACTAAACACTAACACATTAACACCAACACACTAACACCACACTAACACCAACACTAACAACACTTAACACTAACACCTAACAACACTAAACAACACACACACAACACATTAACACTAAACAACACTAACACTAACACACATTAACACTAACACCAACATTAACACTAACACCAACACTAACATTAACACTAACACCAACACTAACACTAACACCAACATTAACACTAACACCAACAACTAACACCAACACCAACATTAACACTAACACCAACACTAACACTAACACCAACATTAACACCTAACACCAACACTAACACCAACACTAACACTAACACATTAACACTAACACCAACACTAACACAACACAAACATAACAACACACTAACACTAACACCAACACTACTACAACACACAACACAACACCAACACTAACACCAACACTAACACTAACACCAACACTAACACCAACATTAACACTAACACCAACACACACTAACACCAACACTAACACTAACACCAACACTAACACCAACACCAACACTAACACCAACATTAACACTAATACCAACACTAACACCAGCCTAACCTGAGGGGGCGGAGTTACCTTTAAAGGGGTAGAGTGGGCGGCGGCTTCAACCAAAGACTCCGCCTCCTCTGACTCTGTTGCCATGGTGACGAGGCTGTGGGGAAAAGAACAGAGCAGGAATTAATATGATCCACCTCCTCCTTCTCCTCCTCCCTTCCTCCTCTCCTCCTTCTCCTCCTCCCTTCCTCCTCTCCTCCTTCTCCTCCTCCCCTCCACCCCTTCTTCTGTCCTCCTCCTCTCTTCCTCCTCCTTCTCCTTTCCTCCTTCTCTCCTCCTCTTCCTCTTTCTCCTCTAAACTCGCTGACTCTCCTCTTTGGCTCGTGTCATAAATCTGTCCCTGCGCGCGCACATCCCTGTGAGAACACGCGCTCTGCGTCTGCGCACGCGCCCATCACTGTCCTGCCCAGAGACCAGGACCAGACCAGGTCCATGTCCAAGTTCAGGTCTAGGTCCAGATCTAGGTCCAAGTCCAGACCAGGACCAGGACCAGAGCCTCACACCCAAACCTCTCAAACTCCGACGCCTCTGTGCGCACTGACGTCACACCGCGCGGGGAGAGCGGTGTGTGCGTGCGTGTGAGTGTGAGTGCCGGTGTGCGCGCCCCCGGACCCTCCCTGTCCCGCGCGAGTCCCGCTCCAGTCCCGCGTCAGAAACATCACAAAGTCCAAGTCCTCCTCCGGGACGATCAGACTTATGTTCATCTTTACCCCGGATGCCCTCCCGACCCCCGGGCCGCGTGCGCTGCCTCGCGCCATACCTGCAGCGCGCGTGCAGCTTGCTCCGTCCTCGCGCTCCTCTGCTGCTGCAGCAGCCGTGACGTCACCGCGCCCCTGCAGTGACGTCACTGCGCAGGTGCCACACAGAGTTTCTGTCCCATCAGCGATTCAACTGAAATAACCCCAAAACCTGGACTAAACTTGGACTAAACCAGGTCTAAACCAGGTCTAAACTGGGTCTAAAACAGGACTCTAAAGCAGCTCAAATTAAAATGTTTAGACCAGAGGTGGTCTCGTACTCACCAATGTTGGATCCAAGTCCAGGTTGAGTCCAAATGTAAAACAAGAGAAACATCAGAATCAGATGAAACTAAACCGGGTCTAAACCAGGTCTAAACCAGGACTAAACCAGGTCTGAACCAGGTTTAAACCAGGTTTAAACCTGGTCAAATCTAATCAATAACAACTTCTCAGACATGAGATCAAATGGGACTCACATCAGGACCGGGGCTGGAGTCTGAATGTGTCTGGGTTCAGTCACGTTTTAGTCCATTCCCTGGTCTCTGGTCTCTGGTCTGATCTCTGGTCTGGTCCAGGCTTGGTCCGGTCTTTGGTATCTGGTCTCTGGTAAAGTCTTGGTCTGGTCTCTGGTCTGGTCTTGGTCCAGCCTCTAGTCTCTGGTCTGGTCTTGGTCCAGTCTCTGGCCTCTGGTCTGGTCTTGGTCCAGTCTCTGGCCTCTGGTCTGGTCTTGGTCCAGTCTCTGTCGGATTAAACACTGGATTAGGACCCGCCCCCAGATTACATCTGTCAATCAGACACACTGCGGAGGCGGAGCTAAATCCAGATGTTTTTAGGTCAAACATAATCCACCAAGAACCAGGACTAAACCAGGACTAAACCAGGTCTAAACCAGGACTAAACCAGGAACCATTTCTAAACCAGGTCTAAACCAGGACTAAACCAGGTCTAAACCAGGTCTAAACCAGGACTAAACCAGGACTAAACCAGGACTAAGCCAGGACTAAACCAGGAACCATTTCTAAACCAGGTCTAAACCAGGACTAAACCAGATCTAAACCAGGACTAAACCAGGTCTAAACCAGGTCTAAACCAGGACTAAACCAGGTCTAAACCAGGACTAAACCAGGACTAAACCAGGAACCAGGTCTAAACCAGGTCTAAACCAGGTCTAAACCAGGACTAAACCAGGTCTAAACCAGGACTAAGACAGGACTAAACCAGGTCTAAACCAGGACTAAACCAGGTCTAAACCAGGACTAAACCAGGACTGAAGCCTGCGGGTTTCTAGTTCAGGTCTGGAGCTCTTATTTTGATGAACTGAAGGGCCTTTATTGTGACAGCTTCCTGTTTACTTCCTTCTTCTTCCGGTCCCCTCAGAGGCAGAGCAAAGATGGCGGACGCTTCGGACCGAGCTCTAGGCTCCGCTTTATGTGCGGATTTTCTGAGCTTCTCCGCCCGCGACACGGCGTCGGTAAGCGGCCTCAGCCTGCGCCGGGCCCCGGGGCTGTGTCCGCAGCTCGGGGCCGCGGGTCGGACCGGTTTAGTCCGGGTTTGTGAGGTTTTGGAGCGGGTTTGAGTGTGAGGAGCTCGCGCTGTCACAGTCAGCTGTTTGCTCTGCGTAAAGATCCGTTTAACTGAACCGAACTACGGAGACATTCTGCTCCTACCGCGGCGAGCGGCGCCCGCACACCGACTCACCGCGATAACACCGCACTTTAACACTTTACACGTGTTCAAGACAATTCAAGTGTCTGAGCCGCGTTTGTGCAACAGCAGCGGAACAGCTGTTAACACCGCCGTGGTACCGCCGTGGTACCGCCGTGGTACCGCCGTGGTACCGCCGTGGTACCGCCGTGGTACCGCCGTGGTACCGCCGTGGTACCGCCGTGGTACCGCGTATATGTGTGCTTATATAGACCCTGTACTTATAAAGATAATGTTTACATACATTATACTTTTGTAAACTCTGTGGTTTTATAGATTGCGTTTGTATATCCTGTGTTTAAATCCTGTGTTTAAATCTTGTGTTTAAATCTTTATTGTGGCTCTGGGTTTGTGGTAACGATCGTGTTTTTTATGATCATAATTAAACGAGGGTTATGAGCGCGTCCCCTGAGCCTCAGGTTCACGTGTTACTGATGCGGAGTTGGACCAGGTTTAATGCCAGGTTCGGTCCTAGTTTGGTCCCGGTTCAATCCCTGCTCAGACCTGGTTCAGTCCCGGTTCTGACTCGGTTCAGATGTGGTTTAGACCCAGTTCAGACCCAGTTCAGTCCCGTTTCTTTCTGGTTGGGAGCTCAGAGTGTGAGTTTATGTAAATGGTGAAAGTGTGTGACACAGATCTTCAGTTCAGGATTTTCTCTGGAGTGGAATAACCCGCAGTGTCACTTTAAATATTGTATGTGGTGTAAAAAGTGTAAAAACCACGATTAAAGTGCACAGGTGACGCAAAAACACACGAGCTCCTCTGTGTGTTTATAATATGTGTGTGTGTATCTGATGTGTGTATCTCCTCCCTCAGACGTGGCTGTGTGTATGTATGTGTATGTGTGTGTCATATGTGTGTATTTGCGTGTTGTGTATCTGATGTGTGTATCTCCTCCCTCAGGCGTGGCTGGCGGCCCCGGACTTGGCCACGCCTCTTTACGCTCACCTGGCGCGGCTTGTGCCTCAGCTGCTGAGGGAGGGGCAGGGGGCGGGGCCGAGGGAGGAGCAGAGGGAGGAGCTTGGCGTTCAGCTGCTCCTATTGGCTCCTTTGGAGTGGCTGCTGCTGGGGGAGGAGCCTAGCGCCGCTTTAGCCGCGCTGAAGGAAGCGAACAGCGGATCAGCGTTGTGCGGGCACGTGTTCAGAGTGGGAGAGCCCACCTACTCCTGCAGGTAACCCCTCCCCCTCACCTGTCTACGCCTGTACTACGCCTGTACTACACCTGTACTACACCTGTACTACACCTGTACTACACCTGTACTACACCTGTACTACACCTGTATACACATGTAACCTTACAGTCTCCCATATAATCACTAACACTGCAGCATAAATCTCACACCAACATACGTGTTGGAAAAACCACCTACTCCACTAACTCCTCCCTTTGACTCGGCCTGGACCTGGCCTGGACCTGCCCTGGACCTGCCCTGGACCTGGCCTGGACCTGGCCTGGACCTGGCCTGGACCTGGCCTGGACCTGGCCTGGACCTGGCCTGGACCCAGCCTTGACTCGGTC